GTACTGTTGATATTTGGCTCTGTTGACTAATGAGTTTGCCGACCACTGGCCTAGCCTATTGCAGCAGACTTTCGGCAAGTCTCCATGAATCTACTCTTACCTACCTAAGTCATTCTCCCACTTGCAACCAGAGTGAACATTAAAACCAAATCTGATCCTGCCTTTCTACTTAAACTCTTCCCTGGCTTTCTGTGGCTACCTTTATTATTAGAATTTCTCCTGCCTCTTTAGCAACATGTTCTCTCTGCTCCAGTTATGTTGGTCTTATTTTCATTTTCCATCTCATGACAATTACGTGCCTACTTTCTCCTACTCTGTCACCCACCCATCTACTCAAGAGTCCAACCGTATTTATTCAAACTTAAATGTTAAATTTTGAGCTAATTGTTAGCTATAGAAAGCATTCAGTTATTAACATGTTTTCAAATTGGCAGTTTCAAAGAGAAAGCATCCTTTCACGTTCTCAAACCTATGTCTAAGCAGTCTTTTAGTGTTGAAGAGACTGAGTGTATTTACCTAATGCCTGTACTTTGAAAATAAGTGGCACTAGTTTGTGATTCTAATTTATCTATAGAAATTTTGCTAATGCTCATTAATATTTTTTTTCCTTTTAGTGTTCTTGTAGCTGTTGTCTGCTGGGAATAAAATCAAAACATAGATGTAGTAAACAGTGAATCTGGTGACTATAACAAAAAAGAAAAAATCTAATTTAAGAATTAACACGCATATATACACAGTCTTGTTGATTTAAAAATGAGTAAACCTGCCCAACTCGTGTGGCTCAGTGGTTGAGGGTCAAACCACAAACCAAGAGGTCACCGGTTCAATTCCTGGTCAAGACACATGCCTGGGTTTCAGACTCAATCCCCCTAGGAGCGTGCAGGAGGTAGCCAGTCGATGGTGCTTCTCATTGATGTTTCCATCTCTCTATTCCTCTCCCTATCTCTCTAAAAATCAATAAAAACATATTTTAAAAGAGAATAAATCAGATTGGAATGTACAAAAAAATCTCAGTTTTTTTTGCTCGGTTTTAATTTAAAAATTTTTTCTTCCATTCTGTTTTGCAACATAACAAAAATAGTGCATACAGTTTTAGATTAAAATTCACTTTTATATAGTAACTAGAGGCCTGGTGCATGAAAGTTGTGCACAGGTAGGGTCCCTAGGCCTGGCCAGCGATCAGGGCCGATCTGTGGGGCAGCTAGTGGGGCGATTTGGGGCCCCCGCTGGGGCCTGCCGAGCTGGGGGCAGCTCCTGTGTTGAGCGTCTGCCCCCTGGTGGTCAGTGTGCGTCATAGCAATTTGCATATTCGGCTTTTATTATATAGTATTCTTGTGATCTTTTAGACCAGTATATTACATAAACAGGGCCCTCTCTTGGCACTTGAACCTAAGGTTGGGTGAAAACGAACCAAATCTGAAGGAAGCCCTGGGCCTTCTTTATATGGTTAGGTGTATTATATGAAAAAAAATATAGACTTTGGACTTACATACACCTGGGTTCAAATCTCAGCTCTATAATTTTATATGTGAGCCTAGAGAAGTCATTACTACTTGCTTTCTTCAACTATAAAGGTAAGAATAATAACTACTTGACAGGGTTATGAAGACTAAATTTAGAAAGATGAAAAATATATATACTGCCAAGCACTTAACCAGTATTTAAGATTTGTTAATTTCTCAGAGGAAATGTAAATATTTAGAGATGAGAAGACCTTTACTCCAACTTCTTCCTAGCCTATCAACCAACCACTCCGTTTCACCCTATAGTGTCTATGTTAGCTTTGTAATCTTGAAGAAATCATTTCATTACTCTAAGCTTCAGTTAGAAAAATGGGGAAACCTGGAGGAGGACCAGATCGTATTAGAATGATCCTTCTAACTTCAAGTATTTTATCATGATGAAGTGGCTATCATCTTTTGGAATTTAATGAGTTAGGTTGCTTTGAAAGAACCTGTTGCTGTAGGATGGACATAAATCACTTACATTTCATCTTTTGCTACCTAGAAGAATTAGAAGAAACATTACCTGCCGGTAGTAAGTACTAATTAATATCTTTTTGTCTAAATTCACACTATCAACCATTCTTACGTTGTCCCTTCATCCTCTTTCAAGAACATGGTTGTATTCACTGTGCCTGCATGTTCAGGCATTGGCTTATCTGATGTTGTCCTTCACCTAGGCCCATGGTCGGCAAAATACCACATGTGGGCGCGCACGTACAGTGCAATTGAAACTTCGTGGCCCATGCGCAGAAGTTGGTATTTTGTGGAAGAGCTCATATATTGTGGAAGAGCCACACTCAAGGGGCCAAAGAGCCGCATGTGGCTCACGAGCCGCAGTTTGCCGACCACTGACCTAGGCTGCTGTGGCTTTTCTCTCTTTTTATTACTTATATATCAGGAAGCCTCCTCAGATCAGCTGCTATTATGAGAAACAACTAGTAATTGCCTTTGAAGTATCATACAGAAGAAACTTGGTTCTTATTTTCAAGAATTATTCATGTTTTAGCATTCATTAGTACTTAGTTTTTTGTTTTTTTAATGTTAGCTGGGTAGGTAGGTAGATTTGTGTCTTAGTTTTTCCATTTAACAATGTTTTTGCCAATAATTTCATGTCATTTTTTACAGATTTCTCTATACAATATCTTATTAATATAGCCTGGTTTATTTAAACACTTTCTTGTTGATGGAGGGTTAGGTTGTTTTCACTCTTTAGTTATATAAACACTAGGGGCCCAGTGCATGAATTCATGTACCTTGAAAGGAACTGTGGGCTGCGAGGCTGCAGTAGGCACAGGGGCAGGTCTCGGCCCATCCTCCGCGCCCCCGCCTGGCCCCTCCTACTGTGGCCCGCGGTCCCCTGTCTGCTGGCAGCCCCCCTTCCGCTGCCACTGCTCCCATGCGCTGACAGCGCCACTCCGCTCATACCCACTGACGGCAAGGAGCAATTGGGACCAGCGCCGTCAGTGGGTGCTAGCAGCAGCTTCTGCCCTGATCACTCCTTAGGAGCAGGGGGAGGTGGAAAAGCCCTCAGGGGCAATCAGGGCCAGTAGCCTTCACTCGCACCCACTGATGGTGCTGAGTGATTGGGACCAGTGCCGGGCAGCAGGTGCAAGTGGGGCCAGCACTGGCAGTGGGTGTGAGTGGTGGCTCTGACGCCAGCAGGATGCTAGCGGGGCCGGCGCCGGCAGCAGGTGTGAGCACCGGGCAGGACTGCGGCGTGGGAGTAAAGAATTTTCAGTAACCACCAGAGGCTTGCCCTGATGACAGCGACTGGTGCTCAGCCTTGGCCTGGTGCCCCCACTCACCTGCTCCACCATCCCTCTGCGGCCAAAGCCCGCCATGTTCCGCACACGCCCCCTGGTGGTCAGTGCACAAAATAGCAACCAGTTGTTCTGTTCGGCTGTTCAGTCTATTTGCATATTAGCCTTTTGTTAGGATGCTACAGTGAACCTCTTCTTGCCTGTTTATTTTCCTTGGGTAGATTCTTACAAGTATAATTGCTGGATGTATTTTGGACCTTCCCTGTAGGTGACTAATATTTGTCAATTTCTTGTATAGTCCTCCAAAAGTATTACCATCTATAAGAAATTTGTCTTTTATATATATTACATGTGTATTTGAGATGTCAAAATTCATATAACCAGTCCCTCCCTGATATTTAGTTTTCTACTCTTGTACTACCAAAATTAGTGCTAGGATGACTATATCTAAGTCATTTTATAAGTGCCAACATGGGGAACAGTGGTGTCATACTATCATTTTCATTTGAGTTTTCTGCTGTTATGAGTAGATTGAGCTTTCCTATTTGTATGTTTGAAAGCCATATTTTATGTTTATGTAGTCAGTTGTATTAGTCTTAAGATGTGAAATTTTGTGCTATTCTTAGAAAGGCCTTTTTTATTTTGAAATTATTAAAGGAATCTTCCATAGTTGAAACAGGCTCACTTTTAATATACTAACTTATATAGAAACAACAGCCCTAGCCGGTTTGGCTCAGTGGATAGAGCGTCGGCCTGCGGACTGAAGGGTCCCAGGTTCGATTCCGGCCAAGGGCACATGCCTGAGTTGTGGGCTCGATCCCCAGTGGGGGGCGTGCAGGAGGCAGCCAATCAATGATTCTCTCTTGTCATTGATGTTTCTATCTCTCCCTCTTCCTTCCTCTCTGAAATCAATAAAGAAATATATTTTTTTAAAAAAGAAACAACAAACTACTCTAGGTTTGAAATCCAATTTCTAATGCTAAATTTTTATTGCATATTGTGCAGACTGGGGTGACCCTACCTCACCTATTCTCCTTTTAAAGTATGGGAAAAGTATAGGGTAACAAGAATCAAGGGAAGCATTCCTGTTAAGGAATTTCTTGGTTGTTAAAACATCTAGAGCTATGATTCATTCTTTCTAATGCCTCTGTACTTTTTCAGTCATCTTTCTGGGATCACTCACTTAATTTAGGTTCTTTTGTCTTAGATCTAAAAGTTAGAATCCATGAATTGAATTACTTGGGTATATTTTATATACTCCTCTAAGCGTTCCACTTTTTAGTAGATAAAGAAGTATAAAATAACAAGTTTTTTCTTTAAAGAGATTATAGTAAGATAAGTTTTACTTGATTTTTCTCTCATTTTATTGTTTCTATTTTGTTTAAAAAGCTGAGGGGTTTTTTTTCTCTGAAAAAAAAAAAAGATGTTTACTGTGCTAGCTGGTTTGGGTCAGTGGATAAAGCATCAGCTTGCGGACTTGAAGGATCCTGGGTTTGATTTCATTCAAGGGCAAATGCCCAGGTTGTGAGCTCGATCCCTAGCAGGAAGGAGCCAATCAGTGATTCTCACTCATCACTGATGTTTCTATCTCTCTCTCCTTCTTGCTTCCTCTGAAATCAATAAAAATAAATATTTTTTTAAAAGTTTACCTTCTTGACTGAATTTACGATAGTAGATATACAAGGATAGTTTTTGGTTAACTGTCAACTTAAAAAAGAATGATGTTTTCATCTAGATCCCAAGGAAGAGAAAAAGGAAGAAGACGATTCTACCCTCCCTCAGGAAGTTTGCATTGCTACAACTAGGCCTAGCCGGGGCTGGCGCAGTAGCAGCAGGACATCTATCTCTCGGCATCGTGACACAGAGAACACCCGAAGCTCTAGGTCCAAGACTGGTTCATTGCAGCTCATCTGCAAGTCAGAACCAAATACAGATCAGCTTGATTATGGTATGGGGCAAGCAGATAATGGTTATGTAAGAACCAGTTGTCTGTTGGTTTTAAATGTAATGCAATGTAATGCTAAACATTTACAAAAACAGCTTAACTTTCAGGGGTAGGTGTGGTGATATAGGAAGGGTTCTTCTTTTGACAATGTGGACGAAAGGGGCCACATGCTTACCTGACCAGCTCAGGGGAGGTCTGCATGGCAGTCTTGCAAACTTAGAGACCTAAAGTTACCACAAAGGATGGTCTGAAATAAAACTTGAACTAAAAGCAGTTATGGTGGGCTGTTAGGTCCTAGGCCAGTATCTTCACTGACAAGGTCAACCTTTACCTTAACTGAGCCTATCTGTCTTTTTGCATCTAGGATAACATACCCTTGAAGTGTCTGGGTAACTTGTAACTTTCCCTTTTTCTGGACCCCGCTGGGGCACAACCAAATGTTCTGGGCGGGCACCAGGACAGATACCACAAATTCCTTCATTATCATGGTAATTGTTCCTGCACCCACCTAAGTATGTGTCCATCATTTTACCCAATCCCAGGGGTTTCCCCACTTTGCTTTCTCCCACCTCCTTAATCTATCACCAATGAATTTCATGTAACTCACCTACAGCCCTCCTTTGACTGCAATGTATAATACAGATGTAACCCGCCATTCTCTGGAGCATTATCTCAATTCCTTGAGGTTCTGCTTCTGGCATATGTGGACAGTTTGGCTCAAATAAACTCACAAAAATTCTTTACAGGTTTCAATGTTTTTTTTATGTTAACAACAATTTGCAGATATTCTCCTTTTGCATGATTACCTTAGGCAGCAATTTGGTCTCTTAGCTGCAGGGAGAAAACTACATAGGTAATGTTTTGTTTTGGCTTTATTTTTCCAGAAGTTGCAGAAGAGCATCAATCTCCAGGTGGCATCAGGTAAGAAACATTTCCTATTTCATCCCTTGGGAACATAGAACAAAGCCACATTAAATTCTTAAAGTTGTTTTCTATTTGAATTTTGAGCTATAACAGAGAAAGTAACTTCAGTTTTGGTATTTAGTTTAAATCCCACTTTGTTGTTTTTAATCCTCATCAGAGGATATTTTTTCCATTTATTTTAAGAGAGAGTGGAGGGGAGTGGGAGACAGAGAGGAGAGAGAGTGACGAAAGAGAGACACATCTATTGTTTGCCTCCTGCACGTACCCCAACCAGGGCCGGAATTGAACCTGCAACCCTTGACTGGAAATTGAACCCAAGATCCTCAGGCCAGGGCTCTAACCAATGAGCAACACCTGCCAGGGCCCACTTTGTTCTTGATTAGAGCCATGACCAGGTAATCCGTAGAGTTATAGAGTTCAGAAATCATTATCTCAAGCATCTTCTATGTTCTGGTTTATTCCATGCTTGGCACCAATATGAAATGAGGTTGTTTAGACCAGGGTTTTGAAATGTTATCAGTATCTTTGGTGGTGAGTCACGTGATTTTTATTTATTCTTTTGTGTGTTGATAGGTGTTTTTTGATACAACAGATTACTAAACATAGTATTATGAAGTCAATTGGATTTTAGCCCATCATGCCATTGAACAGTCATCACCTTGCCTTTGTTTAATAAAGTGATAGCATATCTAGGATTTTTAGTTACATTTTTTTCTTCAGGATAGAGCAGCTAGATGCAGTTCAACTAGATCATAAGGATAAAAACTTACTGTAAATCTTTGGCTACCTCCAAAAATATTTACTTAATAACATATACTAAATTAGAAAATCTCCTCAGATTCAATCTTTACAGCTAGAATTTCTAATCTTATTTGCTTCTTTTTAGTAGTGAGGAGGAAGAAGAAGAAGAAGAGATGTTAATCAGTGAAGAGGAAATACCGTTCAAGGATGACCCAAGAGATGAGACCTATAAGCCCCACTTAGAAAGGTAGGTCTCATTTTACTCTAGACACGTCAATGAAAAATAAGTTTGGAAAGCACTGTTGCATGTTTTTATTTTGGCTTGTTGCCAAACTAATGGGTATAGACTTAATTTTATTTAATTAATTAATTTGTTTATTTATAAAATACTAGAGGCCCGGTGCACAAAAATTTGTGCACTGGGCGGGGGTGGGTCCCTCAGCCCGGCCTGTGCCCTCTCGCAGTCTGGGACCGCTCGGGAGATAATGACCTGCTGGCTTAGGCCTGCTCCCGGGTGGCAGAGGGCAGGCCCAATCCCTAGGTGCAGCCCCTGGTCAGGCTCAGAGCAGGGCCGATTGGGGAGTTGGGGAGCTCCCCCCTGTCACGCACAGAGCAGGGCCGATCAGGGGCTTGAGGAGCTCCCCCCTGTCACTCACAGAGCAGGGCCGATAGGGGAGTTGGGGCACCACCCCCTGTCACAGAGCCGCAGGGCGATCAGGGGGTTGGGGAGCTCCCCCCTGTCACAAACAGAGCAGGGCGGATAGGGAGGTTGTGGCCCCGCCCCCTGTCACACACAGAGCCGCAGGGCGATCAGGGGGTTTGGTCGCTTCCCCCTGTCATGCTGATCCCGGTGCTGGGAGGCCTCGCTGCTCCGCTGATCCCAGTGCTGGGAGGCATATTACCCTTTTACTATATAGGATAGAAGCCTGGTGCACGGGTGGGGGCCGGCTGGTTTGCCCTGAAGGGTGCCCTGGATCAGGGTGGGGGTCCCCAATGTGGTGCCTGGCCAGTCTGGGTGAGGGGATGATGGCTGTTTGCATCTGGTCACACCCCCTTCAGGGTGGGGGTCCCCGCTGGGGTGCCTGGCCAGCCTGGGTGAGGGGCTGAGGGCCGTTTTCAGGCTGGTGGGTGACTGAAGCTCCCAACCTGTCCTTTTTTCCTTTTTTTTTTTTTTATTCTGGGCCATCTTTAGCTCTGAGGCTCAGCTCCATCCAGCTATGAGACCTCCACTGCTGAAAGCAGGTTTCTGGCCTTTGTTTACCTTCTGTATTTGAAACAATGTTGCGGTCTTGCTGGCTGAAGCCCGGCTGACTGAAAGGAGGTTTCTGGGGTTTTGTTTAGCTTCTATATTTGTTACAATGTTTCTTAGAGAGCAGCTGAGAGGCCAGCAAGGCAGGCGGGGAACCTGGCTTCCTCCGTCACTGAAGCAAGCAAGCCTCCCTGTTCGCGTCAGCTGCCTGGCTGCCAGCCGCCATCTTGGTTGGCAGTTAATTTGCATATCTCAGTGATTAGCCAATGGGAAGGGTAGCGGCCGTACGGCTAATTACCATATTTCTCTTTTATTAGATAGGATTTTTATTGATTTCAGAGAGGAAGGGAGAGGGAGAGAGAAATAGAAACATCAAAGATGAGAGATAATCATTGATTGGCTGCCTCCTGCATGCCCCCTACTGGGGATTGAGCCCACAACCTGAGCATGTGCCCTTGACTGGAATCAAATCCAGGACCTTTCGTCCACAGGCCGATACTCTATCCACTGAGCCAAACCAGCTAGGGCTAGACTTAATTTTAAATGGGTAATTAATTATGCACTTATTTTGCAAATCTAACATTCTTAATTACCCCTCATAAAACCCTTTCTTCCATTATAGAATTTTACTTTGATCATATCCTTATTACTGTGATGTTTGCATGTTTTATCATAAGATACTGTGAATTGCCTGAATACTTGGAATTTTCTGCTTTTGTTTATCTTTGTAACTATAGTGAGATTTCATTTTAGGGCATCATTAGCCTTGGGTGGAGGTCATCCCATAGACTTGAAATATTTGTCATTACTGTGCATATGAGGAATGGTTAGCTGGAAATCACATTTTATGAGCCAAGGATCATCATTTTATAATAAATCCATGATAACCTCAGGCTTTACCTTGTTATCACTTGGAGTGCGGGAATCGAGTTAAGTCGGCTCGCGTGAATTGCGCGTACTCCGCGGGAGCCGTCTTTAACTCGGTTCATATAGATTTGCGGTGGAGTGCGGGAAACGTGTAAACTCGGGCCGATTGTAACTGCGTATTACCAAATATTTGTTTGTAATCCACCCTTTTGGTGGATGGAACAAAACCAAAAGACAGAGCCATCTTATATTTTGGCGGGAAATTCACCCGCACTCCAAGTGTTATCAAGTTTTCCTTGAAAGGATACTTTGCTAGATGCCAATGTTGAAATGTATTTGTGCTTTCAGGGAAACCCCAAAGCCACGGAGAAAATCAGGAAAAGTGAAAGAGGAGAAAGAGAAGAAAGAAATTAAAGTGGAAGTAGAGGTAGAGGTGAAAGAAGAAGAGAATGAAATTAGGGAAGACGAGGAACCTCCTAGAAAGTGAGTGAGCAATTACTACTAAAAATGGAAACTTAACATTTTGAAAGCACAGTGGAAAAAAGGTGGGAGTGTGAGGGGAGATGTTGAAATATACATATAGGGTGGGGCAAAAGTAGGTTTGCAGTTCTTATGGAAAATAATAAAATAAATAATCTATATATACATAAGCCAAACAACCGTCCAACTGTTCGTCCGGTAGCTATGACGCACACTGACCACCGGGGGAAAGACAACGCAGGAGCAGAAACCATAGGTTTGGAAACATGGAACAGGCTGATGAATCTCAGAGGGGAGGGTGGGAAGAGATTAACAAAAGATCTTATATGCATACTAGAGGCCCCTTGCACGGATTCGTGCACCGGTGGGGTTCCTCAGCTTGGCCTGCAGGGATTGGGCTGAAACTGGCTCTGCGACATCCCCCAAGGGGTCACAGATTGAGAGAGGCTCAGGCCAGGCCGAGGGACCCCACCAGTGCACGAATCCATGCACCGGGCTTCTAATACAGTAATAAACTGTTTCCTGTACTCACAACTGTAAATCTACTTTTGCCCCATCCTGTATTCCTGCCTTGAGCAGCTAACAATTGTATTGCAGAGACTCTTCTCAAAAAAGCTTGAAAAGTGTAATTCAGAGGCAGTACTTAAAGACATACAAATGAATAGGCAAGTCAGTAAATTACAGGGATGCAGAAGGAGTAGAACAGCAAGAAAAAGTATGGCAAATGTGGATCTTCAAAAGAAGGGCAAATGCTGTAATAACCTTGACCAGGTAAAACCTTTCTTGTCTAGTAACCATTTCTCGTTGCAGTAGTAAGACTTTTGTGTGTTTAGGCTTTCTGGTTCTAGTGCAAGGAGACTATAGTTTATATATTTAGGGTTTTTTTAGATAATAGATTTTTTTATTCTACTTTTTAAATTTATATTTAAGTGGTATACTTTTCACTGAAACAACTCTTGAAGTAGTAACCTTGAGGTTTATCCAAATCTTCTGTAGTATTGTATAGTTTATGAACAGTATATTTTTAACTTGTGATGCAGACTTTTTGGAAAGTAAAATTACTTGGGAGTGAAATCTTGGTTTGGTTTGCCAGATATGTATTTGTGACTTTATGTATTCTGCTACCTGCTCTTTGGTCTTGAGTATATATGTCTTCAGCCGTCCTTCACTCAATAAACTTCAATCCAGAATATGTGTACAGTTTACTCTTTTTTTTTTTATTATAGGAGAGGAAGAAGACGAAAAGATGACAAAAGTCCACGATTACCCAAAAGGAGGTGAGGATTTGTACTCCTGTGTTTTACCTTGTTTCTGGTGGTAGGTATTTTACTCACATATGCCCTTAAAATAATCCTGCAGGAATGGACAAAAGCAACTTTATTAATGTCTGTCATGCAAAGTTACTGTGTTTTTATTTCCACTGCAGGTTCTGAGTGTTTCTAAAAATCTTAATGCTTTTTTACCCATTGAGGGTATGGGATTACTAATTTATTTTGTGTTATTTTTTGTATAAACATTATTTTAAACATTTTGCAATTGCTGTTTACTTCTAACAAATTATATGGAAACTATAATGATAGTATAAAGTTGCTATTTTCTAATAGTGCAGTTTGAGTTGAAGGTCACTGGGCAGACTGTGTCTTCTCTGTTGCTAACTTTTCTCCTACATGCTGATTTAGGAAAAAACCTCCAATCCAGTATGTGCGTTGTGAGATGGAAGGATGTGGAACTGTTCTTGCTCACCCTCGCTATTTACAGGTCAGTGAAGCTGTTGTGTAAGAAAGCTTTCCAGGTTATGTCCCATTACTAATTTAGTTCTCAAGCTTCATGGGACTTTAGAATGTGTGATTTTCTGTAAGCTTTATCATTAACATGCAATGTCAAGAAAAGTCTTTATTTAAACATAAAATTAGTTTATTCATTGGTTAAAAAAAACGAAGAAGAAAAGTGTCTAAGAACCTGAGCCCAAATGGAGGATTTTCCTTGGAATCTTAGAAAATTCCAGTGTTTCCCATTATAGTGCAAATATTTTTTATATGAGATTATTATAATGACACACCAAGACAAAGGAGAACAGATTTTATTTTAATGTGTAGTTTTAAAAAATAAATTTAGTAACTCAAACCAGTGATTTCTTGAATACTGTTTAAAATAAATTTAAAATTTTTAGTTTGCAGAGTTTTTTAGAAGTGAATAGGTTTTTTAAAATATGAATAAAGATAACAGCTTATGCTTAGGTGTCACCGAAAATCTGTAAATGAATACAAGTCACTAAAGCCTAGGAAATGCCTGTTTGATATTTAGTTTAGCAGCAAATATAACATGAGATTCAGGCCTTACTTTCTGTTTCTGGTTCTGTTACAATAATGATAGCTAGTGTTCTTATGCTATGTGTCATTTGCTGCACTAAGCACCATGCACCATGCAGTATATGATCTCTAGAGCCTTACAACACTACAAGACAGCTTATCTCCATTTTACAAATGAGAACTGGAGCTTACAGTATTAAGTGCACATCTCCTGAGATCATCCTGTTAGTAAATGACAGGCCCTGATTGGAATTCAAGTTTATTTCTGTAGCCTATGTTCTTAACTATCTATATCAGGGGTCCTCAAACTTTTTAAACAGGGGGCCAGTTCACTGTCCCTCAGACTGTTGGAGGGCCAGACTATAGTTTAAAAAAAAACTGAACAAATTCCTATGCACACTGCACATACCTTATTTTGAAGTAAAAAAAAACAAAACGGGAACAAATACAATATTTGTATTTGCATGTGGCCTGCGGGCCGTAGTTTGAGGACCCCTGATCTATATATATATAGAGAGAGAGAGAGAAGCCTGAGCGACCTGAATGACCAAACGACCAATTGACTGGTTGCTATGACGTCCACTGAACATTAGGGGGCAGGTGCTCAACTCATGAGCTGCCCCCTGGTGGTCAGTGTGCTCACACGGCCGGCCATCCTCCCACGGTTCCTCCCACCAGCCAGCTGGCTGAGGGACCCCATCCATGCACAAATTCGTGCACCGGGCCTCTAGTTTGATTATATAGCCTCTCTATCCATATACAAAGTATTTGATTTTTCTTCAGCACTTTGACTTAGCAAAGGATCAGATATCTGAGAAGTTTTCATTTTTATCCCTCTACACTTTTACTGTTTTAGCACCACATTAAATATCAGCATTTGCTGAAGAAGAAATACGTATGCCCTCATCCCTCCTGCGGGCGACTCTTCAGGCTCCAGAAGCAACTTCTGCGACATGCCAAACATCATACAGGTACTTTCAAAATAAAATTTTTCAGCAAGTATATAAATGCACTGTACTTTTAAGTGCAGGTGGTAATTATATTCTTTTTCTAACATAAATCTTAGAAGAATCTATAGTCAAATATGAGAGAAAGGTGGGAAAGTAAAATGTAATGACATAAATTTTACAAGGGATGGCCTGCCGAATCAGCATCTGCATTTAATAAGGTTGCTTGGTGGTTTCTAAGTACATTCAAGCTTGAGAAAAACTTGGCTCTTCTCCCTACTTAATTTTAAAACTGCTTGGGATGGAACATAGGATTAATTTTGTTATTCTTTGCCTTTTAATTTATCCTTGTGTTTTCACTCTATTTGTAGTAATTTTAAGTGAAAGACATAGGAAATGTACTGATCATTCAACAAATGGTATTAAGCATCTGTTTGTGTGCACTCTTGTGAACCAAGTGATGAAGAAATAATTAAGTATGATGCTCCTTTGCCACATAGATTCCACACAATGTTATCAAATTCATCAAAAATCCTGTGAAATTTGAAGGGCTTGTGAAATGACAGAGGGTGGTAGTTGAATGGTGCAGATGATGTGGGGTAGGAGAAGAAGGTAAATACAGGTACTGTGCTGTATATTTGATAGCAGCAATTCGAGAGAAGTATAAATTGTTTATCTTTATTTTTAAAGAATAAAATCCATGAAAAATGTAGTTGTTTACTTACCATGCAATTTATCCAAGATCTGGATTGCTGGTAAAATTAAGATTAGGATTTTAGTTCTCATATATTTCTATTGGTTTTTTTTTTTGTTTTTGTTTTTAAGTAGGTCCTTATACTATTGAATGCATGGAGTTAAAAAAGAAACAAAACTGTGTATTTCATTCTAAATTTTTGTTGATCCAATTTTTATACATTGAAGACAGTGTTGCTCTTACTCTGAATTGACCTGCCCAATCATCTGCTTACTTACTGTAAACTAGGAAAAAAATACTTAGAGGGTTTCTGAATGGAACACTAACCACAATTTTTTCTTTCTAGATCAAAGGGATTATATCTGTGAATACTGTGCTCGGGCCTTCAAGAGTTCCCACAATCTGGCAGTGCACCGGATGATCCATACGGGCGAGAAGCCATTACAGTGAGTATTTATTTATTGGTAAACATCTGGGTTAGAAATACATTTATTTACCCCACTTGAGGGTTAGCCCCTTTATAAACACTTTAGCTTCTGCTATTCTTTACTTTTACCAAATTAGAGTGGGTATGGTTTGGGTGAGCCTACTTAGTGAACTTTTTCTTTTGTTGTTTAAACAAACAGAAGAAAAGAAGTCAGATTAGCTTTCCATCTGGTAACTTTTTCTAGTCTCTCACAAGAAGTATATGTTACTCTATTGCTTATGTATGTGATCTCTAAATCACACCTGACTTTGAATAAGAACTCTTTATTTCTCTATCTGATCAACCATTTTCTTTTCCTCTCCTTAGATGTGAGATCTGTGGATTCACTTGTCGGCAAAAGGCATCTCTTAATTGGCACATGAAGAAACATGATGCAGACTCCTTCTACCAGTTCTCTTGCAATATCTGTGGCAAAAAATTTGAGAAGAAGGACAGCGTAGTGGCACACAAAGCAAAAAGCCACCCTGAGGTGCTGATTGCCGAAGCTCTGGCTGCTAATGCAGGCGCCCTCATCACCAGCACGGATATCTTGGGCACTAACCCAGAGTCTCTGACACAACCTGCAGATGGTCAGGGTCTTCCTCTTCTTCCTGAGCCCTTGGGAAACTCCACCTCTGGAGAGTGCCTCCTGCTAGAGGCCGAAGGGATGTCAAAATCATACTGTAGTGGGACGGAACGGGTGAGCCTGATGGCTGATGGGAAGATCTTTGTGGGAAGCGGCAGCAGTGGGGGCACTGAAGGGCTGGTCATGAACTCGGATATACTCGGTGCTACCACAGAGGTTCTGATTGAAGATTCAGACTCTACTGGACCTTAGAAGGGAAGACTTTAGGCACTGGGACAGCTCAGACTTTGTATTTAAAAGATAAAAAGGACAAAAAAAAATTTAAAGCATTTAAGATCTAGTAAAATAACTGAAGGGCCTGCTCTTTCCAATGTGGATCACAGCACACACACATATATCTACTCTCTCTCCTCCTCCTGTCCCCTTTATAAAATTGATGTTGCCTTTACCAGAAAGGTAGACAAAAAATACAAAGCTCTTAAAGCGAGGGTTATCCTTATGCTCGGTTCCAGCCAGGCAAACTTTCTGCTGATTAGCAGATTCCCTTTCCCAACCTGTAAATCTTACACGTTCTGGATCAGCTTTTAACTCTTAGTAATATATACTGTCCTATAATTCCCTTCTCCTCCTTTACTGCTGCCCTATGGTCTGGCTTCTACCCACTGCAGCACACTTACTCTCAAAGTATCATATAATTCTAATCTCTGGAGGCTAGCAGCTTGACTTGGCACTTTAGGGCCCCTTAGCAGGGTGAGCTGTTAAAACAGCACACATCTCTCACCCCCTTTTCCTCCGTTCCTCACCTGGTTTCAGAAAGGAAGGATACATACATGGGGACCACTTTGACCCCACCACCTCAGTCCTCCTCCCAACACCTTTATATGGCTCTCAGTGGTGCTCACTTGCTTGGAAGCAGGCTCCCAACAGGGAGGGGACTGCCCTTTACATGGTCCCTTTGACCATAGTACAGGGCTGCATATCAGTGAGACAGAAAAGTCCCAGTTTAATGGCAGAAATTTGCACTTTGAACATGTGTGTTTTTGTGTTGTGGAACCTGAGATTTTTTTTTATTTATTAACGGAAAGTCTGATTTTTTTTTCTTTTTTTTTGTCTTTGTTGCTATATTTTTTGGGGCTGGGAGAGATTACATTATTCTGACATGGGGTCCTTTCCATAAGAGGTACTTTTGAAGGCAAGATAAAAGGTTGAAGAAGCACAGCCAGCCTCTAAAATCATAGCTCTCCAGTGGCCTTGAAGCTGGTCCTCAGCACTAAAAAAATCACTACAGTAGCTTAGTGCTTTTTCAGAAGCCTTTTTAGGGGAGAATGTTATATTTGTGGTCATTAGTGCTCTGTGAGTTTTTAGAACATTGAGATTTAGGAATTTTGAGGGGATGAGGAAGGTTGTTCAGGGTCTGAATTACAGATACGAGATTTTCTCTTGTGAATTTGTTTTTGTTTTTATTTTGTCCCCATCATTTCTTTACACATACCTCCCTCTTGGCCCAACTCTGGCCCCTTGCTTTGTTTTTGTTTTTGATTTGCTTTATCATAGGTTCATTCCAGCTCCCGATTAGTGAAGGACACTGCCATTATTGAAGGAATAGTCTAGGAGCTGTACAATTTTAAGTCAAAGAAAATGCTCTTGTTTTGTTTCCTAAATTTAGTAACACTTCAGAAGAAAAAAGGCTTCAATAGACAAAATTAATGTAATAATAGCTTTGGCTTCCACCTGAAATCCTGGGAATTACCACTTCCCTTGAAATAGGGATTTTCATGGGATGGATTGCTTATTACTGTGTATACGTTCGTAACTCCCAGAAGACAAAAACCTATTTGGGCTCATTTTTAGGGAATTAAAAGGGCAATTTCTGTCCTGTGTACCTCAGAAGTTGGAATTCAAGGCTTGCCCTATGCATTGTTTGTCAGAAATGTGTGATGGCTGTTGGAAAGAATGAAGTTTTGCTGAGAACAAAAGGAACAGCTTGTTTTTCACAAACACTAAAACTACAAAGTTTATCAATTTTCTCTCTTGATTTTTTTTCCCCAAGAAGAGGGTAACAAAATGTCATTTCTGAAAGAGGCTTACTTGACACCCACTAGTGTCCATGACTGGGATACCAGGGAGTGGGGAGTGAGACACCTACAGTGCACAGTCTTAAATGCACTATTGTTTCTCTTCAGCATGTGGCCGCATTGCCATCCCTCCAGTGGGGGTAGAAAGTGGAATAAGGATAGAAGGGATGTAGAATGTGCTTTCCTGCCCACAGTAAGGATTTGGAATTGACTTTGGTATGTTGATTAGATATGAAAATATATATGACTGACTGGGTGGGTCTACAACAAAGTTGTTCTCCCCTTACCACCCTCCCCCATAGAAGTCTATTTTGTACTGTTTCACTAGCTAACATCCATTCCCCATATTTACCTTTATCTTTGTTACATTTATTTTACCCTTTGTGTCCATAAATTACATCTTTGGTAGTTAGTAATGAGATATTTTAGCCATGTACATGAAAGCAAACTGCATTAAAAAAAATCTTTATGAGATAGAGGTAAATATGTTCTCACACTCCTCTCCCTGTCAGAGTTCTAATAATTGAAACTATCTGTTCTTTCTCCCTTTGTTGTCCTTTTCATAGCTACCATTTGCCTATAATATGCTTCAATAAATTATTATAGCAGTTTGCAATAAACTTTTAAGTATTTTTCATGGACTTTATCTTTTTCCTTTTGAGATGAGGATGCTAGCATAGGAAAGAATTGGTGTATGTACTGGGCCCTCTTCCCTTTTTCTTTTCTGCTCCTCATGCTGTTTACTTTGTTGTCCTTCCAAGGAGCTCTTTGAATCTTAAAATTCTGCATTTCCTACTTCTAGTCAATTCTGTTATCTTTTCCCCCCACTGCATATTCTCCATCTTGAATTGGCAATTCTAGATTCTGAAAATGTAGTTGAGATACAAGCATTATTTCTGTGCTTCCCCCTTGTTTGATTGCCCAGGATTATTTTCCATAATTGAGACCTAATAAGCTTCAGAAAGTTTAGATAAACACTGGCCAGGATTACTGGGAGTAAAAAATATATATATTAAGGTATGGAAAGGCATCCACATAGAGCACTTGAACCTCCTTTGTACTTGTTTGGAGAAAAAAATATAAAAGAGTGTATTAAATCTGAGGTTATTACAGTCTGGTTGTTTGAAATTCCATTTTTCTCTCCTGTCTTTTTCCCACTTTCCAATGTACTCAAGAAGATTAAAAAATTGTAATGGATCAATTTAAAATATTTTTATTTCCTTAAAGCCTTTTTGCCTATTGTAATGTGCAGGACCCTTCTCCTTTTATGGGAGAGACAGGTAGTTACCTGAATCTAGGTTGAAAAAGTTATGTAAAAAGAAATTATAATAAAAGGGATAATCTGCTTTTCAAATTCTTGTTTTCTCTTAATCTAGGTAAGACATATCCAAAATAAATATGTAAAGAAGAAAATAAAATTGTCTTCATGGAAGCAACTGGTCTTCCTTGGTTGTACTGAGTTACAGTTGTCCCAGGGTGAAACAATTGATGCTGCTAAATAAGAAAACCAGGTGCCCTCGGAGCAGGCTTTATGTGGCAGATACTGTTTGCTCTGTGGAAAATCGGGGGGTTAACTTTTGACTGTGTTTAGTTCTTGATTTCTAATGCTGATATGCCATGTGATCAGTTGGCAAAGTACTAACTTTAAAAAAAAATAGTATCCTTTTACCTACGTGAAAGACTACTGTGACAGCCGCCCATGCTTCATTTCTTTCTCTCTTGTTTTCCTCTTTTGTTTACATATGGACATTTGCCCTTGAGAAGGCATGTTTCAATTTAAAGGCAATGTCTATGATAGGAAATAGTGAAAGCTAATTGATTCATTTGAAGTTGAGACTTGCAACTTCTACCAATTAGCACCATCCTCTAACCTACTGAGTTAAATGCAATAGAATAGCAACTCTACAACTGCTTTGAAACTCTTTTGCCCTCATTTCAAAGCCCAACTCATTATCTTATTTAGTTAAGAAGCATGTGGTATAACTGCGATAAGGAAGAAAAAGAAAAACGTGTTGTCACTTGAGTGAGACTGTCTTAGTAATGTTACCATGTCAGGGTTGGGTGTTTACTGTCCTTTGGAAAAGAACAGGCCTAAACAGTATCTTCCTCATCCTGTAGCTATGAGGAAGGCACTGTGATTGAGATCAGAGATGCCTTCTTAGCTAATTTTTAATCAAATGTAAATTAACTTTAAATATACAGCGAAAGGATGGGAGTAAAAAGCTGTATTTATTTTAAAGGACCTTTTTCACATAAACTTACTTTCTTGAACAAAATGTGAGCTACCTAGACAATGAAATTGAAAGGTCAGTGGGAGAAACAGATACAGAATCAAAGACCTACATTTAAATTTTGAGCCTAAGTTATTGTATTTTGTATTCTTAAGTTTTTTTTATGTAAGATGAGGTAAATAATATTTATCTCAGAATCATTCTGAAGATCAAAGGCTTTACAATCTTGAGCAGTGTCTGGTCCAGGATAGGTTCTTACTAAATGGCAGCCATATCAATAATAATGATGAATATTATTGAAGACTTGACCAACCCAAAAAGAAAAAGGACATGGGGAGCACAAGGGAGAGTGGTAAAAAATGAACTGATTATATGTGTATATAAAATAGATTGCATTAGGTATCATGAGGATTAGTGTGATAGTGACCTTGTTGCTAAGTGCAAAAGCAAAACAATGACATAAAAACAAGTAGGCTAGGCACTCAGTGGAGGAGAGAGATGGAGGCAGACGCTGCAGGAAAAAAAAGCTGAGTAAAAGGGGCCTTTGATTCCACAGGCACAAAAATCCACAGCCAGGAATTTGCTGCCACCTCTGAGTCAGGCAGGGGGTGGGGGTGGGGAACACCATTCCTTTAGAGAATGCCCAGTGGATTTAGTCTGAGTGTCACATTTCTTATTTGGAACAGTGTAGATAGAAACAAACTCAGCTCACTTGTTTCCTGGGACAGTTGAGTTAGGGGATGGCTTTCGCAGAGCACTCACCGCTGACCCCTCACCGTCGGGATCTCTGTAGCCGCTCCATCTGGCTAGCAAGAAAGATTCGTTCAGACCTGACAGCTCTTATGGAATCTTATGTAAGTTGCCTATTTTGCTGTAGTCTATTTTGACTTCATCTATTCTGATCCAACCCTTTACCATCATGCTTCAGCCCCATTACCAATTGTGAAAGCCCTAATACAGTCAGTTGTATAGTGGGCACATATCATTTGATATGGCCCCTTCCCTTAAGGAAACTTACATGAGTTTATTTCCTTCCTCTAGGTTTTTTAGGAGATATGTTCCTGAGTAAGAACATATCCATGGGTGCTAGGTAGGGTTGGCTATATGTCTTGGAAGCTGTTTCTAATTTGATTGCCTACAATCTGAATTCTATCAGAATAGATTAACTACGAGCCCTTTAAGTTTGGGTTCTTCATATTGGTTGTTCTGAATTTTTGAACTATGTAAATGAAAGGCAGAGTAAGGTTTATAGGATTGGGAGAAAAGCATTGTAAACCCAACCAATTTCTCCTATATAGTATTAGCCACCCACTTTTTAATTACACACATCAAAAGTGTTTCTGGAGTGCCCTGGCTTGGTTGGTTGGCGCATTGTCCCATGCACCAGAAGGTTGAGGGTTCCGTTCCCGATCAGGATATACCTAGGTTTCGGGGTCGATCCCTAGTCGGGGCATGTACAGGAGGCAACCAATCGATGTGTCTCACCTTGATGTGTCTCTTCTTCCATTCCTCCCTCTCTAAAATCAATATATAAGGAAAAAATTGTTTCTGGATCTAAACAGAAAGGTCACCTACACTATCAAGAAGATTTCCTTTAAGATTCTCTGGGAAGTGTTATATTCTTAAAACATTAACCATGGGTTCCAGATTGGTTTTCTGATAGTAGGAGATTCTCTACCTAAGAGCTGCTGGGAAAACACTGCAGACCCTGTGGAGAATATCTGCACAGCCCCACCAGTTTTTCCAACTGATTTCCACTGAATCCTCTAAAGCAGCGGTTGCCAACCTTTCGGATCTCGCGGACCACCAGTGGTCTGCGGACCACCGGTTGGTGACCACTGCTCTAAAGGATTGTCCTCACTACGGAGAGTAGGCAATGGAGAAGAGATAATTAGAAAAATCCTATGGCTACATTCTAGGGCTTCCTCACTGTGGCCAGTGTCTTCAAGTATGTTTAAAATACTTAAAAACTTCAGTATGATTAAAATGGCCAGGAGGAAGTTTGAAGTGGGAAGGACAAGTTACTCCAGACCAGTGGTTTTCAACCTTGAGAACCTAAGGAAAATGGCACATTCTCCCAAGAAAAATAAACAGGTAGTCAAAGCAATTTGTATAATTTCAGGGACAAAAGTATCTCCCGAAAGTCCAATCGTGGACCCTGAATCAAGAGTTTCTGTTCTACATTTTATTTTCTTTATCATTTGGATCCATGACCAGGGAGATAAATAAGATTTTATATGAGATGTAGGGATTATTTAAGTGAGAATGTGATGTTTTTCTGTATCCTTGGCCAGGTGAAGCATCAGGGCCTGAACGAGGACATGGACCTGGATTCCGTGGATGGTGTGCCAATGGCAAGCACTGATCGGTGGAGTGAGCTGCCTGAGGCAGAGCGACTCCTAGAGAACCTCCAAGCTTATCGTACCTTCCATGGTATGTTGATCAGGCTTTTAGATGACCAACGGGTGCATTTTACTCCAGCTAACAGTGACTTCCATCAGGCAATACATACCCTTCTACTCCAAGTTGCTGCCTTTGCTTACCAGCTGGAGGAATTAATGGCACTCCTGGAACTCAAGATCCCCCCCAGTGAGGCTGATGAGATGCCTGAAATTGTTGGAGACGGTGGTCTCTTTGAGAAGAAGCTGTGGGGCCTAAAGGTGCTGCAAGAGCTTTCCCAGTGGACAGTGAGGTCCATCCATGACCTTCGTGTCATTTCTTCTCATCAGACTGGGATCTCAGCACATGGAAGCCGGTATATTGCTAATGACAAGAAAACATAGCAGTTAGTCCGGCTGGAGTGGCTCGGTTGAGTGTCAATCTGTGCACTAAAAGGTTGCTGGTTTGATTTCCTGGTCAGGGCACATACCTGGGTTGCTGGTTCAATCCCTGTTGGGGCACATATAGAAAGAAGGCAACTGATTGATGTTTCTTCTCTCTCTCTCTCTCTTTCCTTCCCTTTGTCTCTGCCTCCCTTCCTCTCTCTAAGCATGTCCTTGGGTGAAGTTCAACAGCAACAAAAGTAACAGTTACCCATCTCTCTCTTCCTTTCTTTCCTAATGGAATATTTATAGTTTTCTGAGGCCTCACTTTCCCATTCTTAAGTTTTTTAAAACCTTTGAGACCACAGGCATTTTCATCGAGTAAGGTTGGAGACCTAGACTAATGGGAATACAGGTTTAGTTGGTGGGAGTATGGGGGTGATGCTGGGACCGTATGGGAATGGGGCAGGGGCACCATTGTTCCAACTCAATGCTCTAACCTTTCCTACCCACTAAGTAACCTCTACAGACATTTGACATTTAACAGCCTCACAGGGCACATATATATATTTTTAACTCTAGTTCTGGAAGACTCTACTAAGAGGACTATAACAGGAAATTAAGAATCATGGACTCTATTAAATTCAAACTCTTGGAAAATAAAGATAGTACCTAACATTTATTGAGTATCTACTATATTGAAGCAATATGCCAGGGGCTTTATGTATATTACCATTTTTACAACCATGATGAGGGACGTGGTGTTATTCCCATTTGGCAGATGAGGTAACAGGTTCACAGAAACATATAATTTGTTTGAGATGACCCACCTAGCAAATGGTGCACTAAGTTTGAACTCAGATCTTTCTGATTTCAGAGCCTATATGCCCTTCACTTAGAGGCCTGATATGAACCTCTATCACTGCACCTTTGCCACAGAGGGTTGGAAAATGGATCCATGGAGTCTATCCCTAGCACTGAAAAAAACAACCCCCTTACGGTAGTCCCACTATCTGCAGTTTCACTTTCCATGGTTTGTTATCCATGGTCAACTGCAGTACAAAAATATTAAATGGAAAATTCCAGAAATAAGCAATTTATAAGTTTTAAGCTGTGTGCTGTCCTGAGTACTGTGATGAAATCTCATGCAGTCTGCTCCATCCCACCCTGGACATGAATCATTCCTTTGTCCAGGGTAGCCACGCTGTATACACTGACCCACCCGTTAGTCACTTAGCCATCTCAGTTATTAGAGAGAGATCACATTCACTTAATGTTTATTACAGGATATTGTTATAATTGTTTTATTCTTTGTTATTGTTCATCTTTTATTAAGAAAAAACAGGGTTCTCTACTATCTGCATTTCAGGCATCTTCTGGAGGTCTTGGATGTCTCCCCATGGATGAGGGGGGGACTACTGTACATGTCCTGAAGGGCACAATGTTAGTGTCAATGTTGTCCATTCTCGTCAAAGAAGAGAGCAGTAGAGATGTGAAGATTGTGCTTGGGGAAAAGATTAGGCCCACCTAACTTCTAAACTTGGGAAGCTGGGGGTGTGCGGTAATGCTTCGTGCTTCAAAATGTCCACCAATGTTGGTGAGTTCGGGGTTGGGCACATATTTATTGTAATCAGCAATGCTGTAATACAGTTACTAACCCAAGCATTCATGGACGATGGGGGAATACTGCTCAGGTTAAAAAGTCACAGAACTACTTCACCACACATTCTCTGGACTTAGTCATGAGGAGAGGGTGAGGCCCACTCTGTTCCCAGTGGGAAAGCCAGTGATACTAAAACAATACACAGCAAAGCCTCCATGCTTCACAACAAAGCGGCAGCACTCTGTGTTTAATGTCTTTGAGAGAAAGAGTAGGACAAGCGCCAACCAGTAAAGGAGGGCATTAATGGAAAAGTTCACTGGCAGTTGGGCCTATGAACTAGTACAAATGGGAATCCAAAAGTTCTCAGGTAGGTGTATCATTTCATAACACCAATCAATTAAGATGCAAGACCTTGGATTGGGGGGTCCAAATAAATTCCATATACCTATTTGAAGTTTTTTGTATTCTTAAATGAGCCATGTGTCAGAGAGAGCTAGCTCACATAGATTGCATGAGATGGAATGGGTGACTTACCTTTTGTCCTTTCCCACATGGGTGCATGAAGTCAAAATGTGAAAACTCTGTGGTAGGAATTAAGGCAATACAAGGGAAGTAAGGCCCCGTTGTTTAGTATGAAAACAAAGTTGTATGCATATAAGAGATCAATAGTAGGTTGGAGTTGGGCATGGGTTTAAATGTTATGGAATTAAAGGAAGGAGCTCACCCTTACCAGTTTGGCTTAGTGGATAGAGCGGCCCGCAGACTGAAGGGTCCTGGGTTCGATTCCAGTCAAAGGCATGTACCTTAATTGCAGGCTTGATCCCCAATGTGGGGTGTGCAGGAGGCAGCTGATCTTTTTCTCTCATCAATGTTTCTAACTCTCTATCCCTCTCCCTTCCTCTCTGTAAAAATCAATAAAATATGTTTAAAAACAAGAAGGAGCTCAATGAGGACCAGAAATCACTTATTTCCGGAGGAGGGAGGAGTTAGTTGTGCCTCCGTGGTTGGATGAGTATCAAATCAATAGAAATCATGAGAGAAACAGGAAAAAGAAGAATGTGAGGCAATAATATCCCTAGAGGACCAGCTACCCCCTTGAGGTTTATTGTTTGGTTTTATTTCATTTGTGATTTGGTGTAGGTCGATAGTCCCCAATGAGTGCATAGAGGTTTATTTAATTCAAGCTTTTCCTATTTAAATTGTTTCTTCTGCTTACAAGCAGTATTTCTGATTGATAAAGTCCTGCTTATTGGTGTGAAGTTCTTAAGTTTATATAGTATTTTGGGCTCTTTGTTTAATGGGGAAAGATGACCATAAAATTTCTTAATGGGAAATAAAAACCATTACAAACTTGCTAAATCTAAAAAGCATGACCCCTCTTCAAGGGTTTTGCTTCTATATTTGGATGTTGCAGTGCAGAAGTTTCAGGGATCCTTGGAGCATGGCATAAGCTCTGCTGAGTTGCACGTGAAGGAATGTTTATGCATAAGAGGCACATTTGAAGTGGCAGAGAGTCCAGAAAAGGTACAAGTACTAACCACTGACTGGGAGGAAATAGGAAGATGTGTAAGTAGCAGGTCTGTTGAGTGCACCTCCAGCACTGTGCTGTGTATCCATTTCTTCAAGAAACTCACAGGCTCCTCCAAAGACATGTGGGGAGACTCCTCAGAAAAAAAAGATGAAGGAAGGGGAAAATGAGCACTTAGCTATAACAATAAAGACATGAGCATGCATGGATCTGCACGTTACACATTGCATCATGCCTACCTGAAGTGGATGAAACAGACTGAATGAGGGTTTGACATTAGGCCAGGGCTGTAGGTGCCTGTCCTATAACACAGGGAAAATGGTGACCCTGGGAGTCTATATATTTTTAACCATCCACAATCCAAAAGAGATATTTGATCTTTAGATATCAGTTCTTTTCCTCAGATCTGTATATGGATAGGATCTCTGGGGAAGTAATATTTTTATATACATATAAACTATATATATAAATATGTACATATAGCCATATCCTATATGTGTGTATATGATTAAAATGCACCAATTTAGTTCTTTGCCCCTAACTTTTTTAAAAAATATATTTTATTGATTTTTTTACAGAGAGGAAGGGAGAGAGAGAGTTAGAAACATCGATCAGCTGCCTCCTGCACACCCCCCACTGGGGATGTGCCTGCAACCAAGGTACATGCCCCTGACCGGAATCGAACCCGGGACCCTCAGTCCGCAGGCCGACGCTCCATCCACTGAGCCAAACTGGCCACGGCTCCCCTAACTCTTATTTTGTAAAGAGGATTCCTTCCATCCCACTGTCTCCAGAAACGCTGCTTTCATGGGGAAAGAGACTATTTTCCTGACTGTCAAAGAATCACATGTGTGAGAGTTGCTAACTTCCTCCTGCATTAATTCAAGAGAGCCATTTGGAAAAGATTTGCAAATTAGCACAAACTTGAAGGCCAAGCATAGAATAAAATTAGCTTTAAGATAATCAAGTTTGAGGGAAGTGAGAGTTTTAATAAAAATGGAAAGTGTAAAGTCATAGCCCTGGTATGGCTGTTATTTCAGGACGCTATGGATCAAAGCCCAGTGGATGACTCATGGTGACTGCTGGTCAAACCATGAGAGGACAAGTAAATATTCAGGGAGACATATCTGAAATGTTTAGAATGACTTTTGTAAATCCTCACCTTATGAAGTAGCTGAGAATAGGGTGGTGGTGGGGGAAGGAGCTTTCATCAGGATAAGAAAGGGGTTGGGGAAGAGGAAAAGGAGAAAGAAAATAGAATTTGGATATAACTTTAATTGATTTATTGTGTGCATGGGTGCATATGTACGTACATGTGTGTCACCAGCATTGTTTAGCTCAGGACATTTAAAAGAATGGTTTGACTTTTTGTCTCATTCCACCTAGGCTTAAAGCCTCAGATCCAAGAATGGACCTTCTGAATGATGATGGTATATTCAAAAAAATGAATGTGACAAAAATTTCCTCTATCTGCTTAAAGCTTCTGTAGAGCTCAAAGGTCTACAGATAAATACAGACAAAAAAATATAATTTGTTCTTTTGATGTAATGTGTGTGGGGCATGAGATAAGAAAATCCACGTGCATGTGATTCTTATAGTAATTGGGTGGATCAATTTTGGGCAAATAGAAAATAAAAGATGCAGGAATGGCTCACAATAAAGATCTCACCTCAGCAAGATCATGAGTTTGCTTCTTTTATTTCTGTATCTTTGGATGAACAAGAGGAATTTCAAGTGATTTCAACTTTGTAATCTTCCCAGCCAGGCCAGGCTCAATCAGGCGTGCTGGGTAAATCTCCATGAAGCCAGGCCCTAGGGTAAATCTCTGCAGGCCACTCAGCTTAGGAAAGGTGGACTGCCCCTACACCCACCAGCTCGCTTGCAGATGGGGAAGATTTTCTTTAATATGGTTTAATCTCAAGTATTTGAACTCCAGTCAAGCCTTTCAAAGACAGAAGAACTCTACCTCATTTCTGGTCAGTTTGAGGATAGAAACTGAGTTGTGGAAAATCGCATAGGGGAAAATATAGAAAAATTGCTAATAGATTCTGTGTTTTTAACTACCTGCTTAAGGTGGCATAAAATGAATACTGCATTTACTCATGTCAGGCATCTCTACACTATTTCATGTCATTTAATCCTCTGAGATACGATCTCTCTTTCACAATAAGGGGAATGAGAATGAACATTACTGGCCTAAGCCCCCTGCTCCAATGCTATCTGATAGGACTGCAGTTTTAGTTCTGTCTACAAAGGTCACTCCACCCACTGCCATGGGACATCTAGTAATTGAGATCATCTTATCCTGCAATTCACTTGTTTTTGGACAAAGCTAGTACAGACTTGTACCAAATCTTGCTCTATGGCAAGTTCTATGAAGTCTCCAAACTTTGGGACAAATTACTTTTTCTGAGCTTCCCCATGTATGAAACAGAAAGGACAAATACTATCTTCACAGGTCATCACATGATTTAGACAAACTTGAGTATCTGAAAGTGCTTATAAATGACATACAAACATCCAGTGTATTTAAGGTCTGGAATAGCTTGGATTAATGTAAGACTTCAGACTGAGGAGAGGGTTCTGTAAGCTTTTCAGAGATCCATCTGGTCACAGCCTAGACTCCGCTCTGCCCTGCCCTGCCCTTGGACCTTTGGCCACTAGAGACTGACCCAGTCTCACACAGCCTCCAGGAGTCATCTACCTGTGAAGAGTTGAGACTCAGGCTGTTCACTGCACCCAGAAGATGGCTTTCACAGTAGGCGCGTCAGACAAGTTCTGGAGAAGCCTGGCAGGTTCTCTGGATAGCCAAGGAAACATGCAAACCAAGGCACCACCCAGGATGTGTTAAAGCCTGCATTTGGATGTATAGCTATCCTGCCATATGTCAGCACCCTCCTGTTAATATAGGAAGGAACTCAAAGTTCATTTATTTCTATCCCACCATTAAACACAGTACAATGGAGTCAAAAAGGTTCAGTAATCCATTCCAGTGTCCCAGCTAGGAAATAGAACTTAGTCCAGGACATTCCCTCCCATTGCACCTCCCTGCTTCCCCATTAGACCAACTTCATCTTAGGAAACATTGGGTATCTCTGTTTACATTCTCATTACTCTTCACCCAGTGCTCTCTAGCATCCTTATCTCCAATCAGCCTTTGGGAGCCTGGGAACAGCAACTCAACACAAACTTTACTTTAACCAAGATGCTAAAATGATTGACATTATGAAAGTTGAGCATTCTTGCTCTGACTAGCCTGGGAACTTAAACTTTTTGAACTTTTCAGTCCTGTAGAAAACTCTCTGAATACCCCCTAAAGGACACACGTATCCAGACCTACTGACATCCGTCATCCAGACTGGCCAATCTGACTAATAACCGTCCTGGACCAATCCTAAGGATAAGAATATAGGACAGATTATTCTCAACAATGCACTTTTTACTAAAAGAACCCTTAACTTTTCTTTCTTTTTCGGAACACTTTTCCATTTTTGCCTAGCTGTGTTCCATGCTTGCAAACTCTAAGACTCTTGAATAAATCTTTATTATTTGTTTCTAGCCAAAGCCTCCAAACTCTTCTGTCCTTTCAACATAAATGGTGTCAGTATCATGGCATCTGGTGCTGCTGCTGGATTCCAGCAAGGTACCTTCTTGAGCCTTTGGTGCTCTGTCAGCTTCATGACTGCTCCTGGATTCCAGTGGTGAGTTCTATTGGTTCAGAGCTTTAATTCTTGGCTCCTCTGATACTGGTTCTAGTAACAAGTGCCCACTTTCTAAGTCTGTTTATGGAGGGACAACCACATTCATTTTACAGTGCCAGCTGATTTTATAGGCTGTCCTCTGCAAAATATTTGTCTTGATGGACTTCTGATAAGGACCGTTTGAAATTACAGTGGCCACTTTGGGTATCTTTTGAGATTCTGAAATTAATATGTTTACATGCACAATTAGAAAATCTTAGCTCTGCTAAACAAGCTGAGTGATATTTAGAGAAATTCAATGGTTCAAAGATAGCCTCCCTCCAAGAAACAAATTTGAAACTAACTAAAGCAAATTCTGGACTAAACAAAGAGAAATTTAAACTCACTTATTATTGTGCAACTTCCTTGGCCAACCAATAAGAAAAAGATTTCATAGGGGAGCACACAGACATACATTCTATAAACCTGTTTTCCAGGCCCACTCCCATTCCCAAAACTAATGAGCTTGCAGATAAACTCCCTGGAGCTTTTGACGGATACCTCTTTTGTCTTTTTTTTTTCCTCTCCTAGCTGTGACACCTTTAAGGAGAATTTATCTTTTTTTTTTTTTTTAAATTTATTGATTGATTTGAGACAGAGAAAGGGAGAGAGAGAAAAACATCAAATTGTTACTCCACTCATTTATGCTTTCATTGGTTGATACTTGTATGTGCCCTGTCCAAGGATCAAACCACAACCTTGGTATATCAGGACCATGCTCTAACCAACTGAGCTACCTAGTCAGGGCCAAAACTTATCTTTAACATAGAATTTTCATCCTCTAAAAGTCCCCAAAAGCTCTTTCCTCAGGAACTCTAGCTAGTTATATGTACAAATATTTTGGTCCCTCCTCATCTGCCTTTTGAATAAAACCCGACCAACTTAGCCAAAATAATTTAAAATTCTAACAGCCATTAAGGAATAACTTCAATTCCACCTCCAGGGCCCTTCCTTAGAGAGGGAATTCTAAACCTCTCAGGGACGATGGAATGTATTCTTTGATTTGCAGAAGCTTCTAAAAAAAACAAACTTACTTTAAAAAAACAGCTCTAGAAGAATCCCAAAAGAAACTTTGATCATCTGAGAAGGTAATGAAAAGCAAGAATCTCCTGTAATAGGCTAACAAAAAAAAATTGAAGATGTAAGAAGTACCTAAAACAAAAGACCAATTGGTATTTGTCCTGTCTCTCCCAGGGATAGCTGTTGCCTGTGCCCTAAAGGCTTGGCTTGACTTTTTGCCTGCCTGGTGTTATTGAACAGAAAGAGGTCATCCACCCAGGGCTGGCAGAGCCAAAACTAGGCACCGAGAAATATTGCAGTGGAGAAATATTGGCTATTTATTTATAAATGACACCATCCAGCAGAACGGGAAGCTAATACTCAAAGCCCAAACTCCCGGATGGCCTTTAGGTAACAGATTATATAGGGTGAAATCACAAGGCACCGTGGGTTTGAGATTGGGGTTGTTGGGAGCTGATTGATCAGAAGTGAGGTAAGGATAGTGAATCATTTCTTCAGGTCTTGAGGACAGTTCTAAGGTCTGTTTCAGTGTCCCTCTGTTGGGAAGTAGCCAGAGAGTCATTCCACCTCAGGGCTCAGGAGCTGAAACATAACTTAGGTCAAGATGTTATCTTTAGCCTGCAGAGGTCCAGGCACTGTCTTCTGCTGCCTGGGGGTTGCTGATGAGCAGGAGGCAAGGTTAGGTGTCTGAGGGTTGTAGAAGGAAAAAGAAAGAGGTGGTTTCTAGAGCTAGAATTTAAAACTAAATTTAATGGAACTCATAGGACCCTCAGTTTCACTGGGAGGAGCAGGCTGTCAATTATTTCTTTTGGCTCTCAGAGAAAATGACCCTGGAAGATAAGGACCTGCGTATCCTCTAGAGTCCATGAAATTATTTAATATGGCCAGAAATATTTATCCACACTGAAATCTGACAGATTTGAAAGGATTTGATAACTTTTTATCAGAAATTTGGCCAAATTGAAAGCTAAAAATGCAAAGCCTAGAACAACAAACCTCTCTCTCCCTCTCTTCCTCTCTCTCTCTCTCTCTCTCTCTCTCTCAAATCAATAAATATAATTTTAAAATATATGGAGGAAGGAGTAGGGAGAGGACTAGCTGGGAATTATATTAAGTTCTATATGAAGACTGGGCTCAACTGTAAGGGCCTTGAACTTTAAATTCATTTTATAGGCAATGTGGAAGCATTCACGGTTTTATTTTTATTTTTTTAAAATATATATTTTTTGATTTCAGAGAGGAAGGGAGAGGGAGATAGAAACATCAATGATGAGAGAGAATCATTGATTGGCTGCCTCCTGCATGCCCCCCACTGGGGATCAAGCCCTCAATCCAGGCATATGCCCTTGGCTGGAATCAAACCCAAGACCCTTCAGTCCACAGGCCAACACTCTATCTACTGGCCAAACCAGTAGGGCCATTCACGGTTTTAGATCAGTGACCCTCTTATAGTCAGCATAAAAGAGACCACAATAAGAAGGAAGGGAAAGGAAAGAAGGAAAAATCACCAGGGGTCAGGTCAATTCTTCTGCCTTAGTCCTAAAGGGAACTGTAAGGGTCCCCTTGTCTAAATCCAAGTGCAGAGCGTCCTCTATTCCAACAGTCACCAGAGTTTAGTAGACCTAAGGCATATCAGAAACCACCCCACTCTCCCTCTCTCATCTTGGGCAAATTTGCGTCTCCCCAAAAGGGTTTAATTTTTTTTTTGTCCCACCACCTCCCTCTCCACATGAGTAAGTCCTGTCCTGCTTTAAGATTCAGATCATATTTCAATTTCTTTGTGAAAACATCCCTGGTCAATACACCTATATCACTGCCCCGTCATCTTTGCTGTGACTGTATCTTTTACATTATCTCTCACTATTGCATCTACTTCTGACTACTATTACTACCACTGCCACTAACAACGATTATTTTGA